CCAAGATTCTATAAGCAGTAAGCAATTGCTGTGAGAGACTGTCCAATAGTGCTTCCTGCTCACTGAGTGAGGAACTCCAGGAACGCTGTTTTCAAGAGTCATCCACCATGCTGAAGACAGCCTTCTGCTGACGCAGCTGCCTCTGAGTCACTTATGCCCCTGAAAGCAGCCCCTCAGCCATGCCCCGGTAAACTCACTGGTTCACAAAGCTAGACTCTGATGGAATCTTTTTTCTGGTCCATCATCAGTGTGCTATCTGTGGTGAACAGAAAGCATTTCTTCAGGAAAAGTCACACAGCTACCATACATCCTTCAAAACCAAAAATCCAAAGACTGCCTTCCTAAAACACTATCAGAACATGTAGCTTAATAAGTTATCTGCTCCCAAAAGATAGCTACAGGAAAAAGGGTAAAACTAGACAATACCGACTATGAATAACCAGTAGGAATGAAGTCAAATCACTTATCACTCTGCTTCCTTGTACAATTAAGCAACTGCTTTAACTCTAATGATGCTACTTTCTTGTCTCTGAATTGGGAATAGTATCCGTTCCATTCAGTTTCCTAAAGAATTCCAGGAGATATCCATTTTTAAAGATGTTTTAAGTTAACATTTTTACCGAGATCAAACATGGGCCACACACACAGCAAACACTCAGCAAGTGTCCCTGGGCTTGCTGGTAAGAACTGGAGGAGACTGCTCCACAGAAGGAGCTCCTGACTCAGCGCGTGCAGCTGGTGGGGAGGATGCAGAAAGCTGAATGAGCAGGTAGATGGCTGTTCAGCTGCCCTACCCCTGAGAAGTCCATTTGAGTGACACCTCTTTATCCCTAAGGTGCTCTCTCTTTGGGTGCGCCAGACCGGCAGTGTCTTAGTTAGGTCTTATTGTTGTGAATAGACCCCAGGCCCACAGCAGCTCTTATAAAGGAAAACATTTAATTGGGGCTGGCTTACAGTTCAGAGATTTAGTTCATTGTCATTATGGCAGGAAGCAGACAGGCATAGTGCTGGAGCAGTAGCTAAGAGCTTTACATCCTGATTTGCAGGCAGCAGGAGAAAAAGAGAAACACTGGGCGTGATGTGAGCTTTTGAAGACCAAAGCTCACCTCCAGTGACACACCTCCTCCAATAAGCCCACGCCGCCGCCTAACCCTTTCCAAACAGCTCATCAGCTGGGGCCTAAGCATGCAAGTATAGGAACCTGGGTGGGGCTTAACAGGATGCTCCTAGTTTAGCTTCTATAACAAGGCAGTCACCATGTGTGCTCCTGGTCATCTCAAGGACCAACCTCACTGGCTTGGCTGGTGGCAGGCCTCCTGCCTTTGCAAACTTTAGAGGAGGGGGCCTCTCCATTGAGTAGCTCACAACAGACAGCTGGCTTTCCTCAAAGAAAACAACATTGGAATCATGACCTTGGCCATAGTCTTGGAAGTGGCATCCAACCACTTTCACCATATTCTATCCATTAATGGTGAGCCATAAGTCCCATCCATGCTCAACAACATGAGCACCAGGAGAAGGAATGACCAGATGTCTTTACAGGAGCCACCTGCCAAACCTACTGAATCAGAAACTCTATAGTCGATCCCAGACATCTGTTCTAGCAAGGTCTCCAAGTGACTGGTGCACACTAAATTTAAAATCCACTGGGTTATGAATTAGGTACAAGGTTCTCGGTAGATTTCTCAGTAGAATTCTTCCTAAGTGAGTAACTTTTATTCCCACAATCCTTCATCCATCTTGACTATAGGTAGAGGCCTGCTATCTATTTTGTTCAGTGCCACAAATATTTGTTCTATATTAGCGACTGGGGATGGAAACTTTAAAAGGGAAATGAGTCCTGATGCCAAGACCCCCAGGGTAGACTGTAGAATATTCTGAGAACTTACATTTGAATTTATTAATGTCAAGTACCATTGGTGCATGGTTGGCATGCACCTGCTACTGTGCTTGAGTATTTTGAAAACATTACCTATTTAGTCTTCCCAGGAATCCAGTGAAGAACATTCCATTCTTCTTATTCAATGAATAAGAATTTTATTGGTTAAGTTTTAATGGCCAATGCATTGCAATCTAGAGTCATCTGAGAAGAGAGTCTTGATGACAGATTCTGCACATCCAATTGGCCTGTGGATGTGTCTACAGAAGTCTGTCTTGATATATAAATTGAGGTGAGAAGACCTCAATAACTGTGGGTAGCACCCATCCCTATAAAAAGGATCTTGAACTGTATAAGAATGGGGAAACTGAACTAAGCACAAACATGAGTGCATTATTTCCTTGCTCTCTACTCCTAATTATGGATAAGATGTATGGGCTGGCTAGTCTAAGAGAGAGTTTCAACTGAGAAAATTCCTCAATAAAATCAGGCTGGTAGATGAGCCTGTAGAGCATTTTCTTAATTAGTGATTGACATGGGAGGGCCCAGACCATGTGGGCCGTGCTAGGCCTGGGTTCTATAAAAAAGCAGACTGAGCAAGGCAGTGACAAGCAGTCCTCCATGACCTCTGAAATAACTTCTGCCTGCAGGTTTGAGTCCCTGCATTGACTTCTTTCAAAGATGAAGAATTATGTGGAAGCATAAGGCAAATAAATCCTTTCCTGTGTAGCTGGGGAGACGGCTCAGTGGTTAATTGTACTTGGGGATGTTCTAGATAATCTGGGTTCCCAGCACCCATATCAGGTGGCTCACAACTACTTATAATTCCAACTCCAAGAAATCTGACAGCTTCCTAAGCTTCTGGGCATCTTCACACCTGTACATACATTCACACATACATGCACACACACACACACACACACACACACACACACACACACAAATAAATACAAGAAAGAATACATCTTTAAAAAACAAAATAATCTCAAATATAAAAGCAGAAAATCTTTAAAAATAAATAAGAACATATCCTTTCCTTCCCAAGTTGCTTTGGTCAATAAAACCCTAACTAAGAGTTCATCAGGCTTCACATCAATAAAACCAGAAGACAGAGTTCACCATGGTGAACAGAGGGGATGTGTCCTAGAGGTAGGAAAAGGTTGGTGTGTTATAAAGGAAGATGAGTGGGCTATGTGAATTAAGTGAGGTCGGATGGGAGAGAGGAGGCAGTAGACAAAGTATTCTGGGAAATACACAGGTAGGGTCTCTAGATCTGAAGCTTGAAACACACTGATCAAAACAGATCTCTTGGAAATCAAAGAAGGATTTTTATGGGACCCTCCCAAGGAAGGACCAAGATTTATGAGGACTGAAGCTCAGCAAGTTGTAGAGAAAAGAGCACAAGATGGGAAATAGGAAGTTATTAGGGTGCCTAGGAGAGCTTTGGAAGAGCAAATAGGAGACTGCACAGCTTAAGCTCGGTTGACTTCTTGAAAAGCCGACATAGCTACCTCAGTTCCAATCTTTCTTGTCCTTCTGACTTGAGTCTTAAGAGAACTTTCTACAGAGCTGATTAAGTAAGACCCCTTCTGCCCCTTCTAAACAGAATCCCATGTAGACCATAATCTTCAGATCACTATGATGTGGGTAGTCATGATCAGATGATCATTTAGCAGATATATATATATGCATATGTATATACATATATATATATCCTTATTTTCTAGATTAAATCTCTAACTTCTAAAAATTTTCATTAAATTTAAGTGTACTTGGCAGGCTATGGTGTGGTCTAAAAGGTGTGGAGACCAGAGATACAGCTGCCAGGGATACATATATTGGTCTCATTAAATGGGCATCCTTCATCTAGTTGCCTTGCAGTGTTCAAGTAGGAGGAGGCTTTAATCCAAACTAATGATATGGTCACTGAAACAACCTCCTAGAGAGTAGGATCTATAAAAACAGAACCATTTCAGAGAATTTTACAGAGACAGCTGCAGTTGCATGAAGGAAATGGTTGAGCATGTGAGCATTATCTTAAGTATTCTCCTGTTTGGTTTACCATGTAAGAGTGTGTGTGTGTGTGTGTGTGTGTGTGTGTGTGTGTGTGTGTATGTGTAAATGTACATAACCACACATTGAGAGTCTCTCTCTCTCTCTCTCTCTCTCTCTCTCTCTCTCTCTCTCTCTCTCTCTCTCTGTGTGTGTGTGTGTGTGTGTGTGTGAATATATATCATCTCCAGAGATATGCACATACCATGTGCTGTGCTGGGCACCATGCCCACACACTCACTGAGTCTGTTCCTCCATGTGATGATGTTTTTAGACTACTAGCCTATTTCTGTACATGGAGACAGATCTCTGAAGGAGGGGATGAAGGGCATAGCCTGTGCAGGTATGTTTCTCCCAGTGTTGGTCTTTACAAATAGAGAAGACTGGGGGCAGGATTTGGCTATGGTAATAAAGGCCGGGATCCTAGGAGCTAAGTGTGAGTGATCAACTGCCATGAAGTAACTGAGGTAACCAATGACTCAGAAGAAAACAAATGTAGGGTCAGGCGCCATTTTCTTTTCAAGATTTCTCATGCACACATGTGTATGCCTGTGTGAGTTTATATGCACCATGGGCATGCAGGTGCCTGCATAAGCCAAAAAGAGCGTCAGATCTCCTGGCACTGAAATCACTAGTGATTAGAAGCAGCCCAATGAGTACTGAAAATCAAACTGATATCCTCTGCAAGATCAGTAAGTGCTCTTAACCACTGGGCCAGTTCTTTACCCTGCCATTAAGATCGGTAAGTGCTCTTAACCATGGGGCCATCTCTCCATCACCCCATTAAGATCAGTAAGTGCTCTTAACCACTGGGCCAGCTCTCCCACTCCCCCCACCCCACCCCATTTATTTCAAGAGAAAACATGTATCAAGAGGGAGAAACATCCTCAACAATTATCACTGTATCCTGTGGAGATGAGGACAGGCTAATTTGGTTTCAGGGTGCAGATTCGACAGCTTATTGTTGAATGTCCCTACATGGGAATGAGCTGTAGAGTTTATGGGCATAAATGTATCAGACAGAACTGGGACCATTCAGGTCTCCTTTCCCCCTTTTCTCCTTCCCTAGGGTTTGAAAGTATCTCAGTGGGGTCTGCCTAGTGACCTCCAAGTATCCGGGTCAGAATGATGCATCGTGGCTCCATCCAGAACAGCCCAAATCACCCTTGTCCCAGTTGCCTGAATTACAGTCAAGGTTTCCAGAACTCCTGGCGATTCCTTCCAGTGTGAATTAACTTTATGGGACATAATTTCCTAGTACAAGGTGTTTTTTTTTAAGTCTTTAATAAAATGTTCTGCTATGACCTGTTTTTGCACTATTCCAATGGTTTTTGGTTTATGACTCGAGGTGACCGGGGGCCCCATACTCTTACATGTCACCACCTCCCTATTAGATAAAACAGAAATATAAGGTAATTTGGACTATATTAGGGACATAAAGAATCTAGGAAACCATACCTTAGAGACATCATCAAAATGAAGAATGCAAAAGAAAATGATGTTGCTGGGGTTTGGCTTCTTATTTTTGAACTTTGTGCATAAAACAATTCCTTTGAGTCCTGCCAAGTGAAGTCTAAAAGGGACCATTTTCCTTTAATATTTATCGAACTAGATGGGAGTGTATGCATGACTCTAGGAGCCACATGGACATAAAATGCAAGCTGTGCCCTTCAGAAGTAAACAGATCTCTGTGAAGCACAAGGCAGTTACAGGAAAGATAAACGGTAGGACCAGCCAGACACCATGAGGAACACTGATGATTTGAGAACAGGAGGTCCAACGCTGTCCCTAAAAGCTTTGGGGCAGGAGACATGTAGAGTATGGTTGAGGAACAGGAACGACTTAGGCTTATGAGAAGATGGATTTTTAAGCATACATGTGGTCAGAGGGAAGGAGGGAACATGTGTGGTTTATCTCCAGGCTTGGCCAACTGGAGTGATCAGTCTTGGTAGCGCTTAAGGATGACTCTCACAGGGCGCTTGCATAGACTCAACACCTTGACCGTACCTGCTACTGGATCCCTCTCACCAGCAAGAAGCTTCTGATGGGGGACACACTCACCAAAACAACTATCTCACCTCCCCTAGCTGCCTAGAAATCCCACAGCACCAACCCAAGTAATGGCAGAGAGCCCCTCGACTCCCTGTGACAAAAGTGAAGTTCTCAAATATTGAAACATTAGTTCAGGTGCTAAGAAGATAACCTCCCTTTCCACGTCAGAATACTAATGAACTAAAAATGATTAGAGCTTAGACTCCTGGATTTGAAGAAAAGTCACTCACCTTCACGCTGTCGGTTCAATTTTCCCTTGGGTTACAGCATGCCTAACCAGGCTTTTGATCACTAGCAATTTCAAATCTCCATCCAAATCAAACAGAGCTGATATCAGAGATGCCCAGAACTGTAACACTTTGATGGAATGCATCTCTCTCTCTCTGTGTGTGTGTGTGTGTGTGTGTGTGTGTGTGTGTGTGTGTACACAGGTGTATATGTGTTCAAAATCACAAGTCAACCTTTGGTGTTGCTCCTCAAGTGCTGTCCACCTTATTTGTGTTTCATTTTGTTGTTTTGCTTTGCTTTGCATTCTTTTCTGAGACAGCTCTCTTACTTGGCCAGGAACTCATCCATTAGGCTTGGCTGGATGGCCAGGGAGGCCCAGGTATCCACCTGTCTCCCCCTCCCCAGTATACACATGCCCAGCTTTTTTTACATGGGTTTTGTTATCAAATTCAGGTCCTCATGTTAGTACAGCAAACACTTTACCAACTTAGATATCACCTTGGCAGAATTCTTCATAAAGTGAAAGTGATCATGGAATCCACACCTCCTTCTTTAGGGGCTTTTCCTAAATCTGCCATGACCCCCCCCCCTCCAATCAAACTTTTCATCTTGGTCATCTGTGTGCTGTTCATCAGGGAGTAGAGCTGAGTTCTGAGCCACTAAAGCAAAACACAAAGTCCTGATCCCTGCCCTCCAGCTGGACTCTGGGTCATGGCTAGAGAGTTTACTCTAGCTGTGCTAAGCTCCCAGGACTAACTCATCCCACTTCTAGGGTCTGGGAAGTCTCCAGAGGGTGGGTCCCGTGCATGCTTCACACATTTGAATAGCTGTTGTTTGGGCCCGTGTCATTCCCAAGAATGCTATTTTAAGCTCCTCCCTTCACTTCTGCTCCACTTTGTATGACTGGCTCATGAGCCTTCCTTGTGTCCCTTGCCAAGTGAGTCATGGGTTAGGGGCTAGGAGAAGTGACCTCAGATTGAAATTCAGTTTTACTGCAAACTCATTTATGAGTTTAGACTTCAGTTCTTTGGGTCTTAGCAAGACATGAGACTACGGCAATCTTTAGCTCCCCTCTTCTACCAACAGGGACAAAAAAACAATTGGAAATGACAATGGGACAATTGTGTCCTTGGTCAGTGTTACCCAGCTGTGAGCTCCAGGAACAAGTTTCATTCTGACTCTGTGCTCTGGGAAAAGGCTGTTCCTTGCTGGAGGAGTTCATGGGGACCCCTTTGGAAAAAAGTCTGGAACCAGTCACCACCAGAACTCTGAGAAGCAACAAAAGATGAACTCTCCCAAACCATTGAATGGGCCCATAATCCTGGCCTGCCCTTCTCAGTCAGGCCCGTAGTCCTTCAAAAGCAAACATCTACCAAGCATTTTCCTGGAATCATTGGTATTGCTCCAAACATAACCTGTAGCTTACCTCTGCGAATATTTAAAATAATCCCCCATACCCCCACCCCAGCTGCTACCCTGGCCAAATATGAGTCACAGGGTGAAACTCTTAAGTTTCTAACTGACCATCTGGGCCCATTCCACCTTTGCCATGATTCTGTGCCCCTGGGAGACTACCCCATGCATGGCATCATCTGTCCCTGCACACTCTCTGCCTTCCTGTAGGTTTCAGCCAACCCTCCTGTCTGGAGACTGCTGCGGGGGAGGAGGGGAGCCAGGGATGCATTCCCCTCCCTCCATGTCAGCATTTGGCCTGGGCAGTGGTCCTGTTTCTGTGCAGGCCACTGCTCCTTCCTGTGACCTCACACACACAGCACTGACCTCACAGCTTCATAAGCTGCTCACAGCAATTGTCAATTATGGTCTAAAGTGGGGAAGGCATCTCACAGCTACTGACTTGTGAGCACTTCATATTTAAATATGCCATCTGTTAGACACCTACCATGACAACTCTGGATGCTACAAACCAAAGGGGCTCTCAAAGCAGAGTTCAAAAGACAACCAACATCCAACACCTGAGACATGAAGTCCTAATTCACTACCTGCCCAGGAGACAGAGTTCTAACAAATTGACAACCGGGTGAGAACCCAAACACAGGATTCCAAATAGACAAACAAGTCAAAAGCCCTCTAAGGAACCATCCACAGGAAATGGTCTCTTGCTTCTAAGCTACAGCAATAACTTGATAAAGCAGGGTACAGGGACAAAGTAAATTCTGCAATTCCCAGATTCATCTCTTCTTCTCCAAGTGCTCAGTGTTAAATATAATTCCTCAGAGAAGAGTTTTAACCGAGCATCATAACCCTGGAGCCCAGACTCACCACACCCAAAACAAGAGACCAGAGGCTACACAGGCCATTTGCAGTTAAACTTACAGTTCATGTATTCATTTCCTCCCCCTTCCAAACCACTCTTATTTTTGAAATAGGCTTGTGTAGCCCAAGCTATGGAGCTGAGAATGATCTTGAACTCGTGATTATCTTGCCTCCAGCTCCCAAAGGGCTAGAGGACAGGAATGCGCCACCTTAAGTCTGTTCACTGCCCAGCCTTCTCTCTTCCTGGAAGAAATGTCAACTCCCTTCTGGCCTTCAGCACTCATACTGAAGCACAGGAGTGTGGTGCACTCCACCCCCATGGGGACAAATGCTCCTTTGTCTTATCCTCATGACCTTGACAGGATCCTGTCCTCTACTTGGCTGATCCTGAGTGCTTTTATAACGAGTACTGTGCTTTCCGAGTTGAGTCATTAGTCTGAGGAGAGTTCCAGAAAGAAGCCTCCAACCTAAAACCAAGCCAAGTGTGGGTGGCAGGGTGATGCCAGGATCTGCAGGATCTGTGAAGTAGGAGCACCTAGTGAGAGGGCCTCTCTTACCTGTGGGGTCTCCAGTTAATGCAGGAAGGTAGGTCAGAACTGAACCAAACTATGGACACAGCAGTTGGTGCTGGGAAGGATGGGAGTCAGGGGACTCCTGGGACAGTGGCTGCTCAGACACTGTCAAAGGCTGCTGTGTGTTTCACCTTGAAGATCAGGACTGAGACACAGTAAGTGCTGCAGGCTCTCTTCAGAAGAGACTGCGACTTTCCGAACTGGCAGCAGCTGGAACACTGACTGGGATGACACAGAGTTACTCACATGGGGGGGTTGGGCCTGGGGTGTGGAAGATGTGCCAGCCTGCTGTGGGAGACCCACTGCGGTGAGCCTGGAGGACAAAGTTCCCTGGTCAGTACGTCTCTGTGGCCGTGGCGTGACCAAGGAAAGGTACAGCTGAGCTCACTGTCACCGTGAGCACACCCTGGTGCCTACTGGCAAGTCCATCACACGCCAGTGTGAACAATGAACTGTGAGAGCTTGCAGGTGGCTCACAACTGCCCTAACTCCGGCTCCTGGTGATCTGGTGCCCTCTTGTGCCCTCTATGGGTAACTGCACTCACAGGCACACACCTATACACAGACATACACACACATAAATTAAAATACATGCCTAACAACAACAAAGCGCGAGCTGTGGAGAATTCAAAATGAGACTATGTTGTTTGGAGCTGGGAATGATTCCTGGGAGATGAGGAAGTCACGATGTGCCAAGAGCAAAGGCAGAACTGAAACTCAAGTCTTGGCTTCTATCTCCTGCTACTCAGGAAGGTCAGCAAGGGTGGTGTGAGCTACATATATAGGCTCTTAAAACAAGACTATCACTGTGAACATGGGGTAGAAACACAGTACTCAGGATGAGAAAGTTTTTAAAAAATGAAACAAAGAAAGAAAGGGGTTCTTTTTATCGTTATTTAATAACTTCAGCTCTTTAAAAGGCACTGTTAGGCTGGGTGTGGGAGCTGTTGCTTGTAATCCCAGAATTCACAGTGCTGAGGCAGGTCTGTCACTAACTAGTTCAATGGCAGCCTGGCCTATATGGTAAATTTAGGCCCTGCCCAGGCTACAGAGCAAACCTGTTTCAGACTACACTGTCACATATTCTAACAAGTGTCCTCTAGGAGAGTCATTGTCTGTGTTCAAGGTGATGAACATGCCTGTTGTATTCCAGAGTCATTCACAGCGCATCCCCGGGCCTGGGCAGACTCCCA